AATTCGAAACTGAAAACACCAGCGAACCATTTTGGAAATTTAAAAACATAAGCTATTTCGTGCTATTAAAAATTAAAACGTGCTATATTATTTTGTTATCGAAACAAAGAAAAAGGAGGAAAATTGTTGCAACTGGTAAATGTTATTTCATGCAAAATATAGTAACAAAGGCGCTTATTTAACACGCAACTTGAGCTTTAGAATGAACTTTTGAAATAAATATTGATCGTTTCGCTGTATTTCTTTATAAATAATAAGTAACTTTCACGAAATACGTGCTCCAAATAAATAGCATCCTTACCTTGAAGCACGAATAAGTCCAACAGCTTGCTCGAGCAACTTCGACTTCAGTAGCTTTTGAATCTTCTTCATAGCTTCGACTCTGAAAAGGAGAAAACAACCACCGAGCTGTAGCGAAAGCTTCTTCGATTCAAAATTGCATTTAGCGATATGATTAAAATTCAGTAAATGGAATTAAACATACTTTTGATCGTCTATAGGTACGTCCAATGTTGCATCGAATGGCACAACTTCCGGTATAGTTCCTTCTGCCATTACGATGGACAGTTGAGGACTAATTTCGTCCCAACGGTCCTCTAAACTTCGCGGTGGAAGTTGCTCTGTCTGCACAGTTTCTGTTCGCATTTTACATTAGAAAGTGTATTCTTACATTAAACCAAGGGTAAACAGTGTCTTATTTCTTACTTTTTTTATTCTTCCTCCTCTGTTGTTTACGTTTTACTTGCTGAACTAACACATTGCGTTTGTTTCTGTCGCAATAGTTGCTCAACATTTTCAAGAAAATATGCGCTGTCGTTGTGAGGTCAATCAAATATTGTCTAAATGTAAACAAACATTTTGAACGTATTCACGGTTACTAATATAACCCACTGAATAATGTAAATAGAGAAATTACCAACACAAAAATCAGTCGATCAATTTAATATAAATTTGATTTTTGAAATGAAAATAGATATCTAACATAATATAGATAATAGAAAATAGAAATGAAGATGGATAATAGATAAATAGAATTCTTTTTTGTCGCATAACATGGTTCATAATTTAAGGTGGTTATAGTATATTTTTTATGAGTTCATTGTCCTCGTCATCTTCCATTTTTTTTTAGGTTTAACCATAGTCTTTTCTGGTTATGAGTTAGCAGATATTGAGGCGAGTTCAACGAGTATAACAAAAACATTTTGTTTATCTGAAGGAATGATACGACGAAAAAAAGTGATTTTATGACGTTGGTCTCTAATTTTAAGTTTCAAAATTACGCAAATTCACAATGCATGTTCAAAATAATGCTCAGAAGCTGTAATACACTCACGAAGACGGCAAATAAATGATTACTCAATTCTGTCTACGACATCAGCGTTTGTTTTTATCGTTAAGATATTATTTCACTAGCATGCGTTTTATACTCTTTCTTTAGTTCAGACGAAGAAAAAGATGTTCTATAAGAAAATAAAAATGGACGTAAAAAATCGACAGATTGACCTTGAGAACTTCGAAAAACGAAATGAACTGATCAAAAATTTCAGTTTAAATGCTTCATCGAACAATATTATGCGACAGAAGACAAATTTGGATTATAACAATCTAACGCGATCACGGTTAGACGGTTCACCCTTTATATTTCCAATTCCGTTAAACTTTCATTTAACAACGTGAGGTGAAATGAAACGATACCTGTCCCGAAATTAATACAATTCCGTCGTGTGCATAGTTCTGAAGTGGTAACAGCAGTAACAAAGTTCGCTGCACCTGTCAACTCTTGTTTTCGTCACCGTCACTAAGATGTCAGAGTAACGACGATATCCGGACGGTACGGCGCGCATCGACCTTACATTTCCGTAGTGGAAATCCTTGGAAAACCCGTCAAAGTCGCGGAAAGTTGAACGGCCGCCGCCTTTTCCCATTTCGCCAGCCAGAAGGTCGATAAAAGTTGTTTATTCCAGGAAGAAACGCAAAAGAAGAGAGATGGGCCAGACAAGAGCAAGGGCAGAACGCAATGGGAGGAGGCGTAGTCGAAAAGAAGTAAGGAAGTAGGAGCAGGAGTAGCTCTCCCTCGTTGTTCGAGCCGATTGATTTGAAAGTGAATCAATCTGTCTGCAGTAGATAAAACTTTCAGCAAACAGTTTTTTCATTTTCCACTTCTGTGCACTCGATAAACAGATACTCGAAACGGAAAATGGTAAGACGGGCCGAGTGCTTCACGAAAATCCCTGCACTACGTTGTTACAGGATATTTGCAATTCCGGAGGAAACGTGAAAGATTTACGTTCCCAATTTAGAATGCCGATCTTCAGACGAGGAGAAGAGGATTCTGGAAATCCATTTCTATTTCCAATTATGTAAATATAATCGCGATAAATCGTACGTTCGGCTAATGGCAAGTTGTGCCAATTTGCATGCGAAAATCTTGTCTGCGAGATTTGTGAAAATTAATTCTGTTAATTGTAGACTTTGTTGTTCGACACTGATCGAAAGATTTCATCGTGCTTGACAAATTTTTGCCGAAGTATCAACGAAGTAAACGGTATTAATAAAATAAATTCTTTTATACAAACCGTGACATTTTAAACTCGTCGAAACACAAAAGCTGAGAAAGAATTGTTTCCCGATATTCCGGAACATAAAACACGTTAGACTTAATAACCTTGCTGGATTCTCTAACACCGTGATCCGTACTTTGATCCATTGCCATTAGAGTGCACAAAAGTTCCTATGATAATAAAAACGTGTTTCCTTCTATCTATCGAACGAACGTAAACACCAGTAATCACTTTCTCACCTGATACGCTTTCAATGCTATGTGTAATCTGTGCGACCAAATTGCAATCCTCTTTTTATCAGTAACTATCATTTCGTAAAAATTTTCCATTTCTCTTTGGGCGAAATGAAAAGTTTCTGTTGATATTGTTTCACTGTTGAGAATTATCATATTATTGTATGACAAAAATGAAAGCTACCGAAGTATCTTTAATGTTCCATGAATGTTAAAAGCGATAAAATTTATTAAAACAGAATCTATATAATTCTCAATTATTTTCCATTCTTAAAAATAAATTCTAAATAAATTTAAAATAATCATAATCACGTAGGTACTGTTTCACTGTCGAGAAATAAACAAAAATGAAAGCTGTTGAAGTATTTTCAATTTTCCATGAATATTAAAAGCGATTAAATTTATTAAAACAATAAAAATATACAATTCCTCCAAACAATCACAGCCACAAATTGTTGATACTTGCAAGACAGAAACAATAAAAGTCTCTCGGAACAATAAACGTTGAACGGGTAGAAAGGAACTTAAACGTGGACAATAGATGTTGTTTAAAAGCAAAACACGTAAGTCGCGTGTACTGAAAATAGCTGGGAAATGCTTCTTCTCACAGGCAAGGATCTAAAGAGAGCAACGATGCGTAAAACGAGTTCGAAAACTATCTCTGTTTGCTTTCTTCAACATTTACTCTCTGACGATGCGCCTTTTTCTATCGGAGAACAGAGAAGAGTTGCAACGACTTACCTCACATACTTTACTTGGAACTTATAATGGCGATTGAACTCCATGAAAAAACGCAGCGCCCAAAGATAGCAAGTAATTTCGATTGGATTAGAATGTGCCGCTCCAACTATGCAGGATCTCGAGTACTTCATTACAGGATTATAAGCAGCGTTCAAGAATTCTACGCAGAATTCTTTCAAAGCCAGCCTCACGCTCAGCGTAGATGTACGTTCACCCCTTGGATTTGACATAGGACGCTTGTTTGTCGGTCTTGACATTTTTTTCTGTATTGTGTTGAAACAACGACAACGTGAACATCGAAATTTACGTAAAAGTTGACACCGTAAAATAAATATTCCAGAAATTTAAATGTGAAATTGTTCGTATAACGTTATTATAGATTTGATTGAAGTACACAAGGAAAGACTTAAAATACACGTATTAAATTTTCAACTCCATTACGAAAGTTTCTTCACAAACGTTTCACCGTACCGACGTAATTCTTTTTAAACATTATCTCACGATCTAATTATTCTACGTCACGGAAAGAAAAATTTTGTATCTCTGTCTAAAGCGAACGTGAAAAGTTATAACTGAAAAATTTGAGATGAAATTATTACTAAATTCATTATTATTAAAATCGTACAAATTGTATTAAATAACTTTTACACATTCTACATATACGCAATTGCACGTTATTTTGATCGCTGTGCGCCCACTATCGCATAAATAACTTTCATTCAGGTGAACAAGGTGAAAGAGAAACCTGCTCAAGATTCGAAACTTCTATTTAACCTTATTAAATCAGATTTACAATTTCCTTTTCCTTTGTGAGGAAAAGAAAAAGGAAACGCTCATTTTGTACGATGGAGTTGCAATAAAATTTGCCAGACTTTGTTACAAAAAGTTAGCGAAGCAGCCTGTGTTCTGTGACTTTGTTCAAAACACGACTTATCTCCGTTCGCTTTTCTTTTTGTCTCACGTAACAATTCCATAAAAATGCTCGAGAGATAACGTAAGGGTCAAGCGTGGGAAATTCCATAAAAGATATGACGAGAGTCGGTGATCACCTCGATTCAGATAGCCGTCAGGCATGTGACCCAGTAGATTTATGACAGTCCATAATGAAACGAGCTACGAAGAAGCAAGCTAGGAAAAGTTTGTCTGTCCTCAAATACGGATGTTCCGCGAAGGAGAGACGGTAATAACGGTGCAAGGAGGGGGGAAAGGATCGTTTTATAGTTGAACAGGAGAGATAGGAGAAAAGGAGGAGAGATGTCCGCGAAAAGAGCGGTGACCTCGTTTTAAATGCTTCAGCACCATTAAGCAAGGAGCCAGTTCTAATTACGCGAGGATAGCCCTAATTAACAGCCGTATTTTCATTCAAATCCACCCAGCCTCCTTCCCACTTACTCATTAACAAAAACTACCGTTGGAAACCAAAGATTAATTTGAATGGACCACTTTCTTCTTTTTTTCTCGTTTGACGTTCCGTTTCCTTCGTCTCGCGAATAAGGAAGGAATTGAAAATCCCCCGATGAAATTGTTTCGTTTTTCGTATTGATTATCAACTGCAGTAATTACCTTGTCTTGGCTAAAGTTTAACGCCTCGATCTTCTGGAACGGTTTGTGACATAACAGCTGATTCTCCCCGATGGCTTTCATATTCTGAACGACGTAAGTACCGCCGAAATGCGAATGTCTAAACATATTATTAAATAATCGACGGAAAATGATTAGGTGCGTGTTTAATTGTAATTAAAATTAAATAAATTATTCGATATAAAATGTTGTAACTTCTGTTATTCTACAAGCTCTTGTTTAGTCCTTTTATCGTGTTAATTTGGAACAAGTGTACAGGGTGGCTCGCTAGAGCTTTCTGAGTTGATACGATGAAAATAATATTTTAGAATATAGACCATTGAACCATATCGTGGCCATTTCTTTCCACGTTACCACTAACAGTAGTATTTTTTTAAATGGAACGATAGTTGGAATAATATAAAGAAACTTAGTTCACTAAAAATTTAAAAGAGTCCAAGATCTTTTCAAGGTACATTATTACACATAATATATATGAAAAATATGTACTCATGTGTCCAAGAAATAGTGAAGGCATTAAAATTTTCAAAATAACTAGCTTTGAAACAAATTTCTTCTTACTGCGATTTCGTTCCTTACAACCACTCGAATTAGATATAAAATGCTTTTCACATCGTCACAACGAAAATAAATATTTCTGATATTCTTTACATAAACGATATGCTATATGATCTTGCTATAAATTTCGCACTTTCATCCTTGAAATATTAGGCGTAAAACCCTGTTCTGTACCGTGCCATTTTGTCGCCGCCGATAGTGTTCATCGACCATTTCATAGGGTGAGAGAGAAAAGGTCGATCTTTTTACAGCCTTTGATTCCTTTTCAAGCTGCAAAAAGCTTTCTACGGGAAATAGAGGCGCGTAGCAAAAAGATGCAATTAATGCACGATACAAGAATAAAACACGCATACTTCCCAACAAGTGGATAAAAGCTTCTGTTCTGAGTGGTACGTGAGCATACTTTAAAATCTAGGTCGTGTTCGTTACATGTATGAAACTATCATCGAAATAAAATACACATTTCTGAATATGATATATGTATATGTACTCTGAATGACACAATCGTCTGTTTATCCTGTTGCATCTATGTTTACATTTAAATGCCGCTGTTCGTTAAAATGAAAATTACTTGTTACTCCAGCGTAGATGAGCCCTTGGTGTATAATCTGTCAAAAAGCTCATGTACGTGTTGAATGTACAATTAAATTTAAGTAGCTACTTGTTACCTACAGTTAACTATAATATATTTGACAATTATAATCTAGAAATAGATTATTAAATAATACGTGATTTGAGTATATGAAAAGTGTTCGTAAATTTTATCGTACAAAAATGTCAAAATATTACTTATTCTTGGATTATTATTTTATTTTTGCTATATATTTTTATTGTAGCTTTTTAACGAAGCTTTATATACTCCACTTTTATTAAACATTATTTTTCTCATTTTTAAAATTTTACCAAAAATTCTGAAACACTATGTGTATATTCAATGAGTAAAATGAAAACATTCGTCGAGGTATTTCAGAAAGTGAAAAATACAACACACTGTGATTGTATAGTTTTAATTGGAAAATCTTAAGATTAATAATAAATAGCGTTATATAAATGTATAATGGAAGTTTAAGCATAAGCATATACCAAAAATAAAATTGCTAGTTGGTAGATTTTAACAACATGATAATTTTTAGTAATATAACTTAATATAGATTATCCCTAGTATCAAAATTCTTTCAGTATATTAAAGAAACTATAAAGATTTAAAATGTAAAATACAGTCTCTTTGCATAAAAATGTCAAGAAAGAAAGAAAAGTAAACAAAGACAAATGAAGGAGGATTAAACTTACCTAGCACCAGCATACTTTCGCACTCTGTCCATTTTTTCTTGTTTCTCTTTCATCCGCGCAGTTAGAAGTGTTGCTTCATCCCTTTCCTTTTCAGTGACGCTACGTTGCAAACCAGATTTTGCTAACTGACTCGCGCTTTGATCGCACAACATTAACGATACGATCTAACGATATAATTTAACGTAACTTTCACAGTGTTCAAGCATTATATTAAAAACATAAAAATATTAAGTATCATAATAATTTTCTAAAATATTTTCCATTATCATAATAATTTTCAAATCAATAGAAAATGTAGTAGTACCTTGTTATTAAATAAAGACGTAAGAGAAAAATTATTTAATTATAGTGAATTTGAAGAATACAGTGTGAAGAATTATCATTAACAGGTAAATCATTGAAATAAACAATTAATTAATTTGAAATAATATGGTAGTAGAAAATATTTATACAATTTTAAACTAGGTTAAGTTTCTAATTTAGACCGTTCTCAGTCCTATTGTTTACATACCTCTAAAACTTGCAAATGATAATCCTGTTCATTTCTATTGCTAGCAATAAATAGTAGCAAATCAACAACCCCTGATGCATTAAGTGCAAATAAAACCTAATAAACATATGGTATAGAAATGTATTTATATTTCTACATAACTAGATATTACATTCAATGCCGTACCTCGTCATGGATTGTAACATCATTATCAACACGTTTCTCATTTTCATCTGGGGGGATTTGCAAAACATTTCGAATAAACACTAGAATTCTTTCAAGAATCATTTCTGTTTCTTCCCCCCTTTCTATATTATCCTACAGAAACAAAAATATTGCTATATATTCTTTATTCCTAGACATGTATATACAGAACTATGAATTTTACAAACTTACTTCTTTAAGAATTTTACTCAAACGATAACTTAATGCTGTCCATACATGATCATCTGTTAATGCTATTTTGTATGCTTGGGTATATGAAACTAATTTTTGATATATACTGCGATCCATTTTATCAGTAGGTATTTTTTCATTATAAATGATTAAAACTGGACTTGTTAGATTAATAATTAACCTAATTAAGTAAGTTAATTGTTAATATTAGAATGAAGCAATGCATTAAACATTACAAAATATGTTTCAAGCAATTTATCACTTGCCTCAATAATGCATCCCAAAGTTAAGAAACTGACGAACAATGTGTGTATCATCATCTCTTCTTAAATACTTAATAAGATCCTTTATAACATCTATTATTAAATGGATAATTTTGATATGAGTACAATTCCTGATTATATTATTAAACATTGACTATCACTGTTTGATTAACAAAGTAAACCTAGCAGTTAACAGTTGTTCTTACCTAAACAATATTTATCTAAATGATATTTAGATCCATCATAATAACCAAGTGCAGCGCATGTAGCTGCAAGTTCAGTAGATAAATATTCTGACATTATGATTTCAATTATAACACAAATGATTTAATACATAATGTCTTTCTACAGGATTCTAAATATTATTACTACAACTAAATGCAGTTTACCTGTAATAAGTAACACAATTCTGTTAAAATTACACTGTATCTTTATTTTATACATTATACAAGTGTAATTAAGTAAGTTTAATTTTTATTGAAAATCACTATTAGAAAACAAATATTTTGTTTTAAAATCAAGTTTATTCATTACACTAAATTAAGCTTATACATTCTATATGTTATTACTATTATAATACACTCAGTAGTAACACTGTAATAAATCTATAGAGAACATTGATTTAATATTCTAAGCTAATATTCCAAGTGAAAATATTTTCTTAATGAAATAACGAAATATTGTTACAGTTAATTTATACCATAATAAAATTATTATTTTAAACGTGTAACATTTGTGATCGTAACGACCGGCGTGTGCGGCATTTGAGGTTAAGTTTTCGTAACAACAAAAATTATACGAAATAAAATTTTGATAAAGTCACTGTCGGTACTCACGTATTTAACAGCAATCTGGGTTGAAATATTAAGTATGTCCTCGCACTACCTCGCACTACCACTGGAAACACATAACACTAATTACAAACATAAAAGGAGTTACACACTTCCGAGCAATGTCAAACGCAACAGTTGAAGAAAACGCGGGAAATAGTTCAGCGCGCTTTTATGAAATTGACCAATAGAGTGCTTTCAGCTTTAAATGAATCATGAATAAATAGTGCGCCACAATATGATTATCAAAATTCTATCAACAGCATAATTCTTGCATGTCAATGAATGTATTGCGTATAATATTCAAACATACTTGATTCTTTTTATAATATATGTCATAATTTATTTGCACATTAATATTCGGGTAGAAATTAATAATCATCTTTATTTCATTGAAATATTTTTTTAAATGCAATGTTGGCAGAACTGAAATAAGTTAATGAAGAAAATACTGAAACACAGTTCGTAATATTTTACTAGCAGAAATAAGTGAAAAAGTTTCATTAATTACACGTTTAAAACCTTAAAGGTAATGTGTATAATAAAATATCAATTTCAAGCTAATGAATTAGTTCCTGTTTCACTTTCTTCGAATACTTACCATTTTTTTTTAAATAATTTTCAACATACGTGTAGGTTTACTTGTGCTTTAATACTGAAAGTGTTGGTTGCAAATTCTACATACGTATACACATATTCAATCGCGGATGAAAAATAATTAAAAAAGTTTTGCATGCACCGACGAAAAATAATTAAACTCGAATAAATTTACTCTCTAATTATTTCAAGCTAATAGGAGGGCTGAAAGTTATTTAAGAATCGATCTGGTATCTGCTGATCTGTGTAAAAAAAATTTCTAGTAATTAAATAGAAAATTCAGTGGAATATGTGAATTTTTTAAAATATCATGAAATTTTATAAGCATAATTAATATATCAGGATCCTTTCAAATCGGATCCCGCAGAATCAGAAAGATCATCCATGGTTTCGACATGCATCAGACTTATTGTTAGATCCAGAAATCTAAATAAAATGGGGATGTGCTAGTAAAGTTAGTATTGCCATTTTACAGAAATCCTAATCCAAAATCCTTCGCATAATAACTAATGCACCATGGTATGTATCGAACCAAACTATTCACGATGACCCTTCATTGCAAAAATCATGCAAAAAAGAAGTGTCAAACACCACACCAAATTAGAATCTCACACCAACCCTCTCTTGCAACCACTTCTTCAGTTAAATTAAAAAGACAGAACACGAGATTAAAAAGACACTGGCCGATCAACTTCAAATGAGAGATAGGGAGGTCTCTTCAATGGAAGTATCCTCGTCATACTACATAAAGTACTCTAATGTTTGGCTCTTACGCCAGCGCATTAGCCTAAAGAATTCAACTCAGATTGCTGATATTATATAAAAAAAAAAAAACAGATCTGACGGTGAAATCTGTCCGTAGATCGTACAGATTACAAAGCTTTAAGCTACGATCCCAATTTGAATAGAAAGCCTCTTGCTCTACGGAACATTTAATTAAGTACGTCAAAAATGGACGTACTCTGAACTTGTAAACGTCGGGTGGCGGGCAGTAGTATGTACTTAAAACTTTCTGTAGACTCAGCTGAAAGGGAAAAATTCGCGTCACTTCCATAAAATGATCGAAAGGAAACGTAAATCGTGAAATGGTGGTCGCGTGTCATCTACCTCTTCCACCACCTCCCCTGAAAAATTTGTTTCACCAACTTTGAAGCGTATCAAAGCTTCGACTAGAATTCCCTTCGTGTGGCTCTTTCTTTCTTTTTTTTCCACATGGACGACATGAAAGGGACGCAAGGGCTCCATTATTTCACTATAATACCGAGAGTCGCGTTCTACGTCGAGCAATCTATGGGGTAGATATTGTCCACGAAGGAGGAAAATAAAGCCATAAATCCAATTTCGTTTGCCAGACTATACGGAAAAAGAGTGTGCAGGAAGGACGGTTCGAAGCTTTTCACGATGAGAATACGACAGGCTATAGGAACCAATAGGAGAGAGGGCTGTGACCAAAGTCACAAGTGAAACAAAGAAGGGAATGGATTATTTGAGAAATGGAAGGACCGAAAGTTAGAGGAGTGGATAGGAGACAGAGGGGCGGCGGGGAGATTGTGTTTGACTGCTGTGGGACAAACATGCGGTGACTAATCAATATCATCGGCCTTATCTGGGTCAATAGGTTATCGGCCATTTAGTTGCTCTTCCCCATCAACACTTGTCTGTTCATTTTATTTCATTCCCTTTCTGTCTTCTTTGTTTGTATTTATCCCCGGTGTTGTGCAAAGTGGATACGCAATTTTCCCCAACGTATAACTGCCATTGAATATTGCGTTTTCATTCTTGCACAAATGTATACAGGCTTTTGAACGTTTTCGACGACGTTATAAACCATCCACGATTACGCGAAGTTCAATAATCGTGTGTAATAGTGTGCTGGAGTATTCCGTGCGACAAAAAGCATATCGAAAATGCAGGATGAAATTTTCTGTTACGTTTGAAAGCTCGACAATTTCGAAAGACCAGTTGGTATGTTTAGTTTCTGTTTTATACTTCTTTATGACACAATTGTAACGAAAGGGAAAAGGGTACTGTTTATAGGCTGAAATTTAGTTTTTGAGCAGTTTATTGTTATGCACGATCACTGTGTGTCATATTGTTGTATTGATAGAGAATAGAATTTAATTAATAAGACGTTAATTATTAAAATTACAGAATTTTAATTTAAAACACGTGTACAACTAATCCTCCAAAAAGTGCAATTTTGCTAAATTACTTTCTTTCACTTTTTATATTGTGCTATACTTTCTATTCTATTGCAAAAGTGTATGTCGTAAATGGGAAACTTATTTCTGTACGCCTAGGAAATAATGAAAAAAGGTAAAATTGATCATTTTTTGGCATATCAAGTTGAGAGAAATGTGAGCGTTAAGGGGTTAACGCACTTGATACCTGAGTGAAGAATTGATCGATAAATAATATAATTAGAATTTTGTCTTTTACCGGAAAAAAGATTTTCTTTAAGGATGATTATTTGAAATCATCGAAAAAAATGTACTATAATCATCTTAAAGGCCTCTTTGAACCATATTATGCAAGAAAAAAAATTCTAAATAAAATATATAGGTAAATGAGTTTAGAGTCCTGTCTGACGTTATATCATTTAATACTATTGTATTTCAATGTTAAAATACCAATTTTACCGATTTGCAGAATTTTATTTGCGAAGACAGTTTTTATGATTGGATTACGAAGTCAAACTACTGACAACTTCAAACTTTATCTCGCAGTAGAATAGTTTTGAAGAATCTGTTACGACTGTAAATTCGTTTGTTTGTAGACCAACTTCGATAAGAGGTTCGTTGTTTCTTTACTTCTGAAACAAATTCTTCAAATAAAATTTCCTCCTTTTCTTCTTTCTTCTATATTAATCTTGTAAATATTTTTCAAACTCTTGTTCCTCTCAGTTTTACGGTTTTCATTTTACTACGAGTAAGAAACTTTTTACTGGAAGTTTATTATTGATCTAAAACCAACTTTTTCTTCGTCTTATCACATAAACACTACTAAGATAAAAAACAGTTCATTTTATTGCACAGCGTAGATTTCTTTGCAAATTTCTCAGGTTTCAGATAAACAAAAAGAACTCGAGTCCATTCCAATATCAAAATATTCAAATTTCATTGATTTGTTATATAAAATTCTAATATTTTGTCCTTCCACTCATGTTAGTCCATCCTTTATTTTTTTATTCAATTGTTACGTTACTAAAATGCCATAATGTATGTTTATAACTTCTCTCATACAGTGTATAATGTGTTTCGAAAATTTTATTCCATTTTTCTTTCTTTAACCTTCGAACGACGGAAGCCGGGTCATCGCTGACCCAGTTTCTAGGTCTCTCCTATTTCAATTGGAATTCGAAACAAAATTCCAACTTTTCTCTTCTTATATTATAAACACGTTTGGTATTTTAATCATAGTGTATTTGTATGATTTTAAACAACATAGTGTCTGGTAAAAAAAATGTAATTTCGCCTGCATACGAAAAAGGTTTTTTCATTTTTGTTAATTCTTGTATAAAACAGTATTGCATTACGTTCAGCAACTGTCCTAATATTTATGAACGGGAGTGTATTGTTCTTATATACAAGCAGATGAAAATTATACAGACTGTCTTTAACATTTAATGAAATTTCTTGCGCTACACGATCGTATAACTTCGGTGTTGTAAAAAATGACGCTTCCGGTATATCGTTCCTGTATAGAACGCTCCATTCAGAACTTGTTCGTAAGTAATCATGCTTCGTCTAATGCTTATTTCATTAAACCAAGGTAATAGTGCACAACTCCATATTTGAACTTAAGAGATGTTCCGCAGGCTACGTTGTAGTTTATTATGGAAAACTATAAGTCTGCCTGCCGCGCCAGTTGGCA